ACCGGGGGTGCCTGATACCACCTCCTGCTCTGGCACCGGCTCTGGCGGCTGCTCGCTGGGGCGGCCGCATCGGGCCTCAGTGTCAGGGCTCCTGTGGGCCTTGCCGTCGAAGCGCCACAACACCTGCCACATAGAGGGCGAGAGGCTCTGCCAGGCCTGGCCAGCCAGCATGGAGGTGCCACCGAAGAAAGCCGTGCGGCTGGGCAAGCGCTGCTGCCACCTGACAGGCTCCTCCAGGAATGGGGACAGGGCATGGGGCGGCGGTGTCCCGGTGCTGGGAGGCTGAGACTGGCCTGAACCACTGTCGTGACCACGCCCATCCCCCTTCACCACGATCCACCTCTCCAGGCACTGGAAGGAGAGGCTCCTCCTGGCTGGGGCGCTCCGACCACTTGCCTCAGCCTCACCCTCTGTCATGGCCAGCCCCACCACCGCTGCCTCGGCTGCCGTATGCCGCTGACCGGGGCCCGTCAACATCCACCATGGCTTGGTTGCAGCCGGGCCAGAGAAGGGGGCGATTGGGCAGCCAGGGACCCCCCCTCCGGGCAGAAGATGAGAAGGAGGTGGAGGAGGAGGGAGGGGGGTCACATCCTCATTACCCCCAGGATTTTCATTTTTACCCCATTTGGGGTAATTTACTCCATTCCCTGACCACTGCTTTATAGGATCCTGTTTTTGATAACAGTAGCACGAAAGGTCTAGAAAGTTGCTTCCTAGACACTGTCACTAATGGCAAATTTTTAGCAAGTTGCAAATGTTTATATTTCAACCCCACCTGAACAAACAAGAGAAATGTCTCAGAAGATCATATGTTGGGAGTGGAGGAACAAAATACAACCAATGCAGAGGACACCCCAGCCCCCACAATGAACAGTTTTGAAGACTTTGATAACAGGATGGAAGGTAGAACCAGGGGAGACACTAGTATGTTTTGATCAACTGCAGTGAAAGCTTCCCAAGTGGGTAGCAGTGAAAGGCTGCCCTGGACTTCATACAGACACAGCTCATCCTTTTGATCAAATTCAAATCTTGACTAAAGTACCCCCAGCTTCGTCTATGGGACCCACAGCTTTCATTTCAACAAAATGCAGATATGCCACAAAACCGAAGATGGACTGAATAGGCCTTCTATACTGTATTTTAGTGCCTTGCAGAATTCTTTATCCTTCCTACAAGTAATCAAAGCAGAATACATTAGAAGTCCCATATAAACAAACGTGCTTAATCTATATGTTTTGGCACAGATGATTGTGTCAAATGGGTGAACAAGAATGCAGGGTCAAATCAGACGGTGCATTTCTACAAGTAGGAAGGAATGATTCACCTTCGCTCCTGCAGCTCCTCTCCCCTATCTAGTACTCCTAGAAAGCCTGCTTCAGAAGGCCAGGAAACCCTCTAGAGGAGGTTTTCGGCACTGCAAACAACATCAATGGGGTTCTGGAGGTAGAAGGCAGAAAAGTCCCAATGCTTCTGCAAGCAAAATATTGGATCTAGGCTTGGAAGTAACTGGTTACAAATGATCAGTGATTTATAATTAACTTCTTTTCGCAGTCACTAAGGCTGGAGTGGACAACCTGTGGCCCTTTGGAAGCTGATGGGACCACAGCTCCTATCAGTTTTCACCCATGTCACATCTTCTGTCATGTGAACTAGTGGTACCCAATCTTGGGTCTCCAGATGTTCTTGGACTACAACTCCCAGAAGCCTTCACCACCACCTCTTCTGGCCAGGATTTCTGGGAGTTGAAGTCCAAAAACATTTGGAGGCCCAAGATTGGGGACCACTGATTGTAAACTACACAGTTTGAGTTACTGTACATTTGTTGCTAGGGCTCCATTCCTTCATTATGCTTTATGCCACACCCCTGAAGTATGTGGCACCTTGACTTTGTATTGTTTTGTTTCTTTAAAGAAGCCTCTTCTCAAATGATAAGTTGAATTGCTTTAAAAAAACAAACAAACAACTGCAGTTATAACTGCTACTATTTTTCAAGGCTCTTGAAACTGCAGGTATATCTGATTATTTTATTTTATTTTTTTAAAGCTGCTTTCCAAGCTCTGGCAAATCACTGCATGAAAATAGCAAAGCAGAGCTCCTCAGGTCAGGATGGTGCATCAACCATTGTGGTGTGAGTGAAATCACCCAGGATGCTTACAGGGATCCCCAGGACAGTCCAGCACCAGCAATCCAACAATGTCGGGAGACATCTAGAGCAAGAGTAGGGCACCACTGTTTTTAAATTTTTATTTTCAAAAAAAAACAAAAAACATACAGAATAATAGAAAAATCTAATGAAGAATTATCTAAATATACAATTCTCCCCTGCCCCTGTTGGGACCATTTGGGAGAAACCACCTGTACCATTTAACCTTGTGGACCCCCATCTCCCTTCCAGAATTCTGCAGACTCTTACACTGGGCTTTGCCCCTTTCCCCTTTATTCACACAAAATCAGCAAATTCTCCTCATGTATCCATAAATATTCCTCTAGCAGTTACTTCCCTTTTAACATTTATATGACATGTAAGTTCATCATTGATAACTACACTACTCCTTTGAACTGCATGGCTCTAAGCTGTGTGGTTTTGGCTATATGTGGATTTTTCCCCCACCCTTGCTCCTGGCACGGTGGCTCCACATGGTGGCCACAGACCTCCTCTAGCAGTGGAAGGGGGCAGGTGGAGCCGATTCAAAGCAAAGCAAAGAGGAGGAAGAGGAAGCAGAAAAGAACAGTGGAAAACACACACACACAAACAGTGCCCCATCCCCACCGCATGTGCATGTCTGCTGTTTGCCTCTTGTTGCATGCATTGCAACAGATGGAAGGTGCACTCGCTTCTTCCTGCTTGATGCCACCCCTGCTGCCATCACTGGAGTTCAAGGCAAGTGTAAGCACCTGTCCCTGAGGAGAGGAGTTTGTATGTGTGAGAGTCTGTCTGAATGTGTGTGCCTGTAGTGGGTTGCTGCTGATGGAAGTTATACACAGATTCTGAAATACTTTATTTTTCACTCTATAAGATGCACTTTTCCACCCCAAAAAAGTGTGGGGGGGTGTCTGCGTCTTATGGAGGAAATACTGTAAAATAGCACTCCCCAGGGCCCAACGGGGGGATGATGGGGGGAGCCTCGGAAGGATCCGAGAGTGCATTCCAGGACCCTTTCAGAGGCTTCCCCCCATCCACCCCCCGCGGGGCCAGCCAGGGTGAAATCGCGACCTTCCAGGACCCTTCCGCGGGGCCAGCTTGGAAAGCCTCAGAAGGGTCCTGGAAGGTCGCGATTTCACCCCCACTGGCCCCATGGGGGGTGGAGGGAGCCTCCGAAGGGTCCTGGAAGGCACTCTCGGACCCTTCTGAGGATCCCTCACCCCCACCCCTGCGGGCCCAGCAGGCTGAAATTGCCAGAACATTTCCCCTGTTTTCCTCCCCTAAAAATGAAGTGCGTCTTATGGAGAGATGCGTCTTATGGAGCGAAAAAATGCGGTACACGGGAGTCCAGTGCCTCTAACCCCAGTGCTGTTGAAAGGAGAAGCATATATCCCCAACTTCCCTATACCAATCACTAGGCTAGAAATTATAAGAAGTGGTGATGGGAATGAAATAAGTATTATAAATAAATAATACAAAAAGGATGACAATTAATGTTCAGAACATTCCTGTTTCACTGACCCTCAGAGCTTACACAAGTCATTCCCACTCCAATCCTCCTGAACAAGAATATGTTGGCACTTGACAAAATCCAGATGTTAGTACATAGCACAAAGGGCTAGACCCATGCTGTCAACAGCCTTCACTTTTGCAATGGCCAGCAATGCACTTCTTCGCTGTCAGTTCTTCTTGTAGCCCCAGGAGGCTTGTTGCACATCATGGTAAGGTGACAATGGCCCTTGGCTAGCAACTACGCCATGGCAATGGCAGAATCTTCATTGCTGCTCTCCTGGTCCAGGCCCACTCTTCGGATGGACTCCCTGTATTTTTGCTTGCCCAGGGCAATAATGGAGGTGATCTCATCTGCTATGTCTTGGCGGCCACTCTCCTTCATGGCAACAACCAGCCTGTCTATGCAGTCAGAGTTCTTTTGATTTTGCTGAGCCCAAGAGAAAAGCATATCCAGAATCTGTGTATTGAGGTCTTCCCTGGGGAAAAAATATAACAGAGAGAAGCAAAGTGCCAACATATACCCATCGTTGGAAAATGCATCTGTTGTACACACATAGATCATGAGCCAGATCTTGTTGCTTAGCACAGTTAATCACACTAGAGTAAGCACACTGAAACAAAGGAAATGTAGTTAGTCATCTCCATAAGTTGTATTGATTCAATTGGGCATGCTCTAGTTGTAACTTCCTATGCTAAAGTTGTAGTTAGCGTAAGCCCATTTGAATCAACTGAACTTATAGAGAAGCTGACCACTCAAATCCCCACCGATTCAATGGGTCCATTCTAGTGTGACATACTATGCTAGCAACTGGATTTGGTCCCATATCTTTCCATACGTTCCTGGCAGCTTTGTTATGTGCCATCAAATCGGAACTGACTTATAGCAACCATTGTAGGGATTTCAAGATAAGTGAGATATTTAATGTAAGGATTTGAAGATAAGTGAGATATTTAAGGAATGATTTTACCAGTTCCGCATCCCTAGTGGGCTTCTGTGGCTGAGCGGGGACTCAAACCCATATATCCTGAGTCCTAGTCCAGCACTCTGTCCACTATACCAGTGGTTCTTAACCTTGGGTTACTCAGGTGTTTTTGGACTGCAACTCCCAGAAGCCTTCACCACCAGCCGTGCTGGCTGGGGTTTCTGGGAGTTGCAGTTCAAAAACACCTGAGTAACCCAAGGTTAAGAACCACTGCACTATACCACACTGGGTACCCCCAAGTAGCTTAAAGCCCTTTAAAAACATGCAACAAAGTATAAAACAATATTAAACAATTGTAAATACACTTTTCAATAGAGTAACAACAACAAATACATTTTTCAGAATAAGCAGCAGTCCATTCATTTCTGCCTTTTTGAATAGGAGAGAAATTTTATGACAGCAGCTTTGCATGGCCATGAGTTCAGGTTCTAATACCTAACTCAGCAGCAACTGGGAACTTCCATTGGACTTCTAAAAAGTAGCTCCTTGTCCTTCTTTATACTGATTGGTGGAAAATAAAGAAACACATAGGCATTTTTAACATGCCTAGAAACAAAAGAGTATTTCTTGTTAAGGCTTCTGTACTCTGTACAACTTCCAATCTATGCTCAACAACGTCAGTCCAGGCAGCCACACAGCTACTGCCACCCACCCGAATATTCTGCAAGTTCCCTCTTTCTTCCACTTCTTCACCAAGATTGTGAAAGAGTCTTTAAGTTCTTTGACAAAAAACAGAACCAAAATAATCTATGTAGGAGAAAAAAACCTGTACAGAATGGGGCAATTTATTCTAGCTTTCCAGCAGATTTATGTTCTGATTCAGGATTACACTCAGTTCTCTCTTACACGATAGTAAAAGCTACAGGAACCTCTGCTTTTCTTCCCACCAACCCTCTATGGGAGAAATTTTGTTGTGTAAAGTACTAAGTCACAACCAGAGTAGGCCCATTGAATCAGTGAGAATTTGGTGAGTCAACACCCTTATAAGTTCCATTGATTCAATGGGCATAGTCTAGTTGTGACTATACTAAGCAAGAGGAATTCAGCTAAAATTCCAATGCCTCCAAGTCTGCTCTGCTCCCACTGGCCTGCTCTGTCCTTCAGTTATTGTATTTTAAAGATATTTATTGTACTCTTGCCACTCTAAGTCTTGTGTGAAGCTTGTTAATGTTTCCTCTTGATTCTGCTTGTTCTCATTTTGGCACTAGTCTTTTTGGTGCTCACCACTTGAATTCACCATTAGAGGAAATCATAGCTTTAATTTATATAATTCTCCAATCCACACATTTCAAACACAACATTGAGATTTCTCATATATGAACTGGGATTATTTGACATAAAACATTCTAAACTTTAGGCTTACCATTTCAACTATTCATATCATGTGGAACAGGGATCCTAGACAGTGTTACTATACCATTGCAAAAACAAAAGAGCAAGAGGGAGCATGAGAGAGAACACTTCGATTTAGCAGTCAGTGGCCAGTATCCAGTTGGTGTAAGTTACACCACAGAATTCCAGTGGCATCACCAACTGTAACCATGCTGCAGTGGTTTCAGGGGAACTAAAAGCTTCCTACTCTCCTTCACCCCCAGGTTCCGGGGATCTTTAGGGATTCCTGTCATCCTAGGGGACCAGTGGCATTGATTTTCTAGCTTTAAATTATTCCCTACTTTATTCCAAAGACTTCCTAGAAGAATGAAGATCCCTAGGAACCCCAAAACCTGGATACGTGGTAATGGAAGCCTTTAATTCTCTTGAAATCGTCATGGCATGGCTTGCAGCTGATGACATCTGTGGAGTTCCACAGTGTAACTTATGCCAACAAGATTCTGGGAGGTGAAAGGAAATGTCTGTAGCTGGATAATCAGCACTCTGACTGAATGCTCTGTGTTCATTTCCACTTTTTCCTCTCTTACCTGTTGTTGTATTGTATCCGTTGTATCTGCTGATAGGATAACCCCAAATTTAAGCCAATCGATTGCCAATCGGCTCCAATGCGTCCAGCAATGGCAAGCAGATTAGACTGTGTCAGGTAACCAGTTTCAGCGTCCCCCAAATTCAGTGGGGGAAGAGAGAAGCCATTTTGGATTATAGGCTGCTCATTCCCCTGAGACTTCAGTTTCTGGAAGAACAGAACAAAAGAGAAAATATGTCATTCATTCATGGCATGATATACTATAAGATTTAAAATCACAGAGTTGGAGCAGACTACTTAATTCAGTTTCCTGTTCAATGCAGGAATGGTGAGTCCCCAACAGATGACCATCCAGAGCCCTCAGTAAGGGAAAGCTGACCCAATGACCCCAGGTAATTTTTGGAACTGTGCTTATTGTGATGGGGCCACCAGTGCCAATCTTCCCTGCAGAGCATCCCTGTGATCTCAGGTCTACACAGGAAGAGTAGTAAACCCTCTGGTGCCCCTTAAAAACTGAGGCAGGCAAGAGAAAAGGAGAAAGTCCTCTTGAACTAGAGGATTTTCCTGACACAATACTGGATCTAACCCACAGTTAAGGGTGTGGGCAAAGGGGGGCCCACAGGCTGCAAGTGGCTCCCATGGCCCTTTCTGCAACCCTTATGAGCTCCACAGAGGTCTCCCAAACCTTCCCCCCCACCCAGCACCAGGGGAAAAAAAAGAATGAGCAATGGTTTTATTTGTTTAAATAAGGCAAAATAAGGCAGAAAGACCAAGCAAGCATACGTTCCCAAACTCTCAAAAATCTGGAAGTTGATGACAGGTATTTTGCAAGGGCTTGCTTTAGAAAAAAGAAGCTGGAATCCTGTTGCTTAGTTATGAATACATAAGGCAAACTGCATAACATTTATTTGCTTCTAACGGGCACCTAATGAGTCATTGCTGGGAATCTTGGGGAGCAGGCATGCTTACTGACTTGGTGCATCCCCAAACATCCCAGTGGAGACTTTTTCACTTACAGTTAAAAGGCACTGAAAATGATACAATTTGCCTCCTGCACATGTAACAAAGCAACAGGATTCCAGCCAATGTTTTACACCTTTTCTGGGCCTGGTGCTGTTAGCAGTACTGTATATGCGTTATTTTAATAAGTAAGCCTAGACTGGATGAAATGCCAAGTGAACTGAGAAAGGTTCACACGATATAATTAAGAAGTTAATTATAAGTAAAAATAATAATAATGAGTTATTGAAGTGAAAACACACAAAGCCACAAGCAGGTTTCCATAGGGTTCTGGGGTTACTATTAGGAACTTGCACACACGAGGCTGTCTGGGTAGCTTCTAGTTAAAGTCTAATTAGCAGAGTCAAAGGGTTCTTTGGACAATGGTGGGCTATAAAACTATAACGGACAAAGTCAGAAGTTTATCTGAAGTTTGTTGGATGACTAATCCATCATTCAAAGTCAAAGGTGAACTTAAAATTTGGCTCATCAGAGAATTTGTTATTACAAAACAATTTCTAGAAACCCTAATAGGGCATTCAAGGTAAGTCATACAGTATATTTTAAGGAGTAGTCTTATCAGTTCCACACCCCCAGCGGTCTTCCATGGCTGTGCAAGAATTTGAGCCAAGGCCTCCTGTGTCTTAGTCCATCACTCTGTTCACTACACCACACTCGGTATGGCCAATAGTTTATTATACATTGATTTGGCTTTAAGAAAAGCATAAACATATTAACTAGGTAGTGTGTCTTATAATAGTAGAAGCTGATACATATGCATGGTAAAGTTAAAATGTATCATAAAGTTTGGATTAAAATCTTAAAAATGCATTAAATCAGGACTCATCTAATATTTAGTAACAATGAAATCATTGAGACAAGTGGTCTGCAACATGGTGCCTCCCATGTGTTTTGGACTACAACTCCCATAAGCCCTAGCTAATACAGTCAAGGGCTACCAAATTATGAGCGCTATAGTCCAACACATCCAGTAGGCACCAGTGTGGAGAAGGCTGGACCAAATTCTTTCTTCCTTTCTCTCTCACATCCTTGTAGATAGCTGGTGTTTTCTTTGCCGTGCCCTAAAACAGAGTGGAAGGAAGGAAGGCTGGAGAGGAGAAGGGATGCAAATCCCATCTTCAGCCTTTGGTTTAGTGTGCATAACAGTAAACATAATTAAACCTAATGTATTGAGAAATAAGCCTTCAAAAACGCGCAGAGTGCATTTTTTAACAGCAACTCTTTATGTTCTATATTTTGGCATACAGTGGTTTGGTAGGTGAATCCCATAGCCATGTAATCCAAAACCTAGCACTGAATTATGTGTACAGCTCTGGGGGTGAAAAACATGATCAGTTCACCTGGCTGGAAATGCTAGAGGTGCAAGTCAAGCTCCTAATACAGCATTAAACTTCTCCTCTCCTTTCTAAAGCAGAATACTGTAGTTAAACAGACATTAAGAAATACAGGATTAGATGCAGAGAAGTCTCCATTTACACAACAGGGCCTTTCTGGCTGCTTCTTCCTAATGATACCCCCTTTGTTCATCCTCATGCCATTCCTAAGGGTCAAGGGACCGTCTGGGAGAGGGTGGGATGGGGTGCAGGGGCTGTAGTGAGATGGGAAAACTTTGGAAAATTGCCCAGGAGGGAAGCCTTGTGTGAGCTGAAATGTCGTTGGGCTCATAAAGGCCATGTTTAGATCTAAGCCTTTGTTTTATTCAGATATTCTGTGGCAGGAGAAGTACCAGCTGCTGAATTTCTTCACGTAAGGCCACACACGAAAAGAGCTAGAAAACAACAAAACCAACCAAGCAAATAAAAATAGAAAACACGCACATACAAAATCAGATGGCGGCTATCTCTGCCAGAACTACCCCACCCTCCGCGGTCAACGTCTCACATTTGGGCAACTCACAGGCAACTTGATTGGCAAGCTAGCCAGCCAGTGGGAGTCGGGGCCTTTCCTCCTCTTAGTCACTTCTTCAGGAATGCTCTCTGGAAGAGCTCCACGGTAAAAGGAAACCTTCGAAAAGAGAAAAGGCTAACCTGTGCAGAAGTGCAATTACTACATCCGGCTGTCAGGCTCCGCTTTCTGTTGCTGAGTCCTGAAACTGAGTTCATCCTGTTGTTCCAGGGAATCCACACTCCAGCTGCCATATGCAGCATTAGATACATACAACAGCTCATCAAAAGCTCCACATTTTCACTACTAAGGTAATAGAAAGTTGTTCGGGGCACAGCTTCCACATCTCTACTCGCTGCCTACTAAGGATTAATTTGATGATCCTCTCAGCTAGTAAACAAGGCCAGCATAGCTTGTACTAACACTCCTCTTATATGCTACAAAAAAGCGCACACCTGCATATTTTTATTTGTTTTATCTGTTTTATTTTGCTTGCTTTATTTATAGGCTACCTTTTTCCCAAGCCTCACAACATTAAAGGTACAGAATGAAAAAATATAATAAGTTAAACATTAAAAAAACAAACTAGACGTAAATTAAAATGCAATTGAACAATTAAAAATGAGTAAACATTAAAAACCATCTCTAAGAAGGCATTCAGGGATTCAATTGTGTGAGTAAACATTAAAAACCATCTTAACTCTAAGAAGGCATTCAGGGATTCAATTGTGATTGTTAAAATCCTGCCTAAAAAGATGTATTCCCAAGATCTATCTCAGCCTTCTTGAGCTTGGCATCATACAGGTGTTTTAAAGCACAAAACCCCTGAACCTTTAGCACTGCCCATGGTAGTTGGAGCTGAAGGAAACTCTAATCCCCCAGAATTTAAAGGACACCATGTGAGAAAAATGCTACCCTAAAGGTAAATATTCAGACTTTTTCCTTTTCTTTTTACTATACTCTGGTTGAGGTGCCTGATTTGAAATTTCACATATTCTGTACTTTTCATGAATCCAAACAAATATGAGAGATTATGGAATACCCTTCTCTGAAAGGCTTGTTTTGGTCCCTTTTTTGCTATTCTTCCACCAATTGGCAAAGCATACCTTTTTTCTTCTTTTTTTTAAAAAAATAATTTTCCATTAGGTAAAGGAAGATTGTAGGGAAGGGGATTTGGCTCAGGGTATTGGGGTAAATAAAAATACTGAATGTGATAGAGAACAGTATATATAATTACTACATTTGTCAGTATGTTTTTTACTAAGCTTACTTCACACTTACCATATTTTTCAAAGTCTTTAAAATCTAAGATTATAGCTTATATTTTCTTTCTCATAATTTTTACCCATTCATGTTCTCATCTCTAATTCAATTATACAAAAGTTCCCACATTTTTTTGAGCTTCAGCTATTTCTTTGTCTTTTAATACTTCAGTTAAAATATCCATCTCTGCTGCTTCAAAACATTTTTCTGTTAACTCCCGGGTTGTTGGAGTCTCCTCTTTTTTCCAGTATTTGGCGAATAAAATTCTTGCTGCTGTAGTTACATGTATGATCAAATATCATTTCCCTTTTTCTATTGTCTGGTATTATGTTCAACAAAAACAATTCAGGTTCATATGGAATTATAGAGGATAACATTTTTTCATAGATTCGTTTCCAAAAGCTCTTAACTTCCCTACAATTCCACCACGTATGATAAAAACTACCTTCTTTCAATTTGCATTTCCAACATTTGTTAGAGCTACTTTGATATATTTTTGATAATTTTTCAGTGTCATATACCATCTATAGAATATCTTGTACATATTTTCTTTGTAATTTATTGCTTTTGTTAGCTTCATATTACAGATTCGTTTCCACAAGCTCTTAACTTCCCTACAAGTCCACCACGTATGATAAAAACTACCTTCTTTCAATTTGCATTTCCAACATTTGTTAGAGCTACTTTGATATATTTTTGATAATTTTTCAGTGTCATATACCATCTATAGAATATCTTGTACATATTTTCTTTGTAATTTATTGCTTTTGTTAGCTTCATATTACTTTCCCATATTTGTGACCATGACTTTATGATAATACTGTGGCCCACATTTTGGGCCCATTTTATCATACATTCTTTAACTATTTCATCTTGTGTTTTTAATTCTAGCAGATACAACCTTTTAATCAGTTTTTCCTTTACATTCAGAAGTATGTTATCTAGTGGTGTCTGTTTCTTACAACAGCCTACTGCTTTATCACTTGTATATCTTGAACCTATTTGTGTTTTTTTAGTGGTGTCTGTTTCTTACAACAACCTACTGCTTTATCTCTTGTATATCTTGAACCTATTTGTGTTTTTTCCACCAGTCAAGTATTGTACAGTACCTTGTTCTTCTCTTGATTTCCTACTTATGTCCTCTTTTAACAAATCTCTCTATCTCAAGAGCTTCTTCTTTTCCATTAATGTTGGTTGTGTAAATGCTTCCATTGGTGAGACCCATTCAGGAACTTTTGGGTAGTTTTCTTCCTGGATCTTGGTCCATACCCAGTTCAAAGCTTTCCTTATCAGAGGGTTCTTTAATTGTTTATTGCCTATTGCTTTTTGATACCATAGGAAGGCGTGCCATTCTAGATTTTAATCATGTCCTTCTAGTTTAATATTAACCGCACATAAACACCAATACTGTAGGATTTTGTGGGCAAACAGGCCAAGGGCGAATTACAAAACTAAGTACCTGTCCTTTCACAGCTTTGGTTTTTCTGTCCGTTTCAGAGGTAATATAGACTTCCTTCACATTTTTCAAGTGAGAGAAAAAGTTGAATGAAATCCTTCCATCAATGCAGTCTGGACGGTCTGTGTTAAGTTTGAGAAAACAGATATACCCAATCATGCTAGACCACTGAGTGGTAAAGACAAAAAACTCTGTGTACAGGTGTGCTTATGAGGACTTCTTTTACATGTCGTAAACCAAACTACACACTCTAGTACATCACACTCTTCTGAATGTGAAGCCCTGAAATCCCTGGTTCCCCACCCGACACAACAAGACTCTTGTGCCAACTTTCTGTATTTTGGTGACGCAGGAAACACAGCCTACACAGCAAAGGGAAGGAGATGAATGCCTGGCCATGCATGAGCCTTCAACAGTTGAGCTAGCTCTCTATCACTCAAGGTTCAGGAGTTTATTTATCTCTAAGTGGAGTATGTTCTAGTGCCAGAGACCTTAAGTAGGAAAACTTGGATAAAGTTCTCTGATAAATTATTTTAATCAGCCTCTTGCAGGCTTTAAAAATAAATATGTCCAGTGGTGCCTCGCATAGTGACGTTAATCCGTGCAGCAAAAACCGCTGCTAAGCGATTTCGTTCCTATGCGATTTTAAAAAGCCCATAGAAACGCATTAAAACCTGTTTGATGCATTCCTATGGGCAAAAAACTGACCTTAAAGCGAAGATCCTCCATACGGCGGCCATTTTCGCTGCCTCTAAAGCAAGGAATCCGCGCGAAAACACAGCGGGTGGCCATTTTTTAACCCGGCGGCCATTTTAGAACCGCCGATCAGCTGTTAAAAAATCATCGCTTTGCGATGATCGGTAAGCGAAACAGGGAACCAACCATCGCAAAGCGAAAAAAACATATAGGAAACATCGCAATGTGATCGCTTTTGTGATCGCAAAAAGTTCGTCACTATGTGGTTTCGTTGCTAAACGGAGCGCCCGTTAAGCGAGGCACCACTGTATCACCAAGTAAATTCTAACTGATTACAGCCCTTTCCAGGGTATTCTCAATATACTCAGAAGTGATTTATCTTTTGCTGCTTCTAGGGGCACTTTGGGGCTGTGTAGCTTGCCCAGAACTACACCAGCTGGTTCTTTTTCTGGGAGACATGGTGAGAAATCAAACATCTGCATCTAGATGCCTAAACAGTACAAAAAACGAGAGGAGATTGTTCTGTAGATTGAAGAATTTTCCTCAGAGTCAACTCATTTGGAGTTGGAAAATAAGACCTGAATCAATTTGGGGTTTAGGCAGCACCTATACAAGCAGGCACTATGGCATTTTACCTGCATCAATGTTGATGCCTCCTTCAAAGGCGGCAAAGAACTGCTCTCCTTCAAGCATCTCCACCATGTCGGATGGTTCAGGGCCTTGGTATCTATCATGAAGCTTTTTCAAAACAGGATCAACCTAAACACATTTCAGAAAGAAGACACAAATTGACTCCTTTCCAACGGCAATCCGTTCTCTTACCGCTCCATCAATTTCTTTGGAGGATGCAGTTTCCAGAGAGAGAAACAGGGGGTGCCTTCTCACAATCTGTACATTTGGTTCCCTCTCTCTTTTCCTCACACATGCAATGGCAGCAAATCACAATTGTCAGCAACAAATTATCTCTTCCACTGTGCTTGCTGCTATTGTTTTTGCCATAACCTACAATAACAGAATGCTCCCATCATTCCCTAGGTACCTGGAGCCATCTTAGTGGAGAACCAGATGTTTTGTTCTGTGAACACAGAAAGGTCTCTGCGGCTTTTATTTAACACTATGGACTGGACTACTAATTTATTTATTTTATTTATTGTTTCTTAGATTTGTATACTGCCTCATTAGTGTAAGGCATTATTCTGGGTGATTTACAGCAAGATAATAAAACACAACAATTAAATTAAAATAAATCCAATCAACAGATAAAATCAGATGTAACAAGAGGCATTATTATAAATACAGGGTAGTATGTGAGCCATAAAATCCAGGCAGGGTTGGACTGGAAGGGTTCTCTGTAAAGCAACATCTTGAGAAGCCTTCTGAATATTAGGAGGGAGAGAGCCCAGCACAGCTTCACCAGGAACTGATTCCAGATGCTTGTCATTGATTTCCTGGCCTCTACTACTGATCACAGCCTATGTCCCAGTCCTGCACATTCTGTGATCTACCAAGTTGAGCATAGCAACCACTGTTATGGCCAGCCAGGTACTTTACATCATTGAAGTCCTAGGAGGCAAAGCCAGGAGGCTGTCAAAGCCCATGTTGCCTAGTAAAGTATAATTTAGTGGGTCTTTACTGCCTTATTTGGCCACTACAGAGATACTCCTAAGACTTTCTGAAACTCAGTTACCAGTAATAGTGAAGATGTATGCAGAACACAAGAAGTAAGAGAGAAAGAGAGAGAGACTGAACGAGCACACCTGTGTACAAGGATGCCAAATGCTTCACCTTGTGCTTTGGGAGACATTGCAGCAAGACTTGTTCAGGATCTTTCTTTCTTTGCAGAGCTATGAAGTTCACCTGGTACATGCGAAGCTTTTTATAGACCTCTCTTGCAATGCCACCAATGCAGGCCTTGGTTGTGCACCATAACCAGTACCTAGGAGGAAACACGGATTTGAGAAGGGATTTAAATTGATCAGTTTTTTCTTTCATTTGAAACTACAAAGGGCATGAGTATATCAACTCTCTTCCTAGATGGCAGAGACATAGACACAAGCATAGAAACTCTCACACATATGGGGCACAAGTAGATATTATGTCGTTAGAAAAAAATCTGTTGAAAAAGCAGAAGCTCTCTCTATCCTAGTTTTGTTTCATCAAATATGCAAATAATTTACATGCAACGAATGTTTGCTCAGAGGATATGCTGCATTTAAGAAGATGAAAGTAAGATGTGTAACTAGAGTCTGGTTTGATACGAAAGGATTGTGCTCATCTGTTTGCTGAAAATACACTGAAATCCAATGGGCAGCATCCAGAATCAGATTGTACAGAAGGATGGTGTATCTTTGTATGCTGGAAAAGCAGAGTGGGCAAAAGTCAGTAATGGAATATGTATATAACTGGGGAGGGGTGTCATTCACTGAAGTGGAAAGGCTTAAAATTCAGGACAGTTAAAACACTTCTTCACCCACCATACAGTAAAACTGTGGAATTCACTACCACAAGATGGATGATATAAAAAGATCAAACTAATTAATACAGGAGAAGACTATTAATGACTATAAGTCACTATATACGTATAGCTGATTATATATCATGCTCAGTATCACAGGAAGCTTGGTTCCGGATATCAGTTGCTGAGGGAACATGAGTGAGGGAGTGCTACAGCACACACACACTTTGGATATTCTGTAGGTGCCTAGTTGACCCTTCTGTGAAGAGAATGCTAGACAGATACGTCTATCGTTTACTTCAGCAGGTATCCCTTTTAAATAAATTGGTCAATTAGACCTCTACTCCTGCAGTCATCTGTGTTGAGTATCCCAATTCACATGTTAAAATTGGCTACCCATATGCCCAAGGAGGAAGGCAGGGCTAGAAAAGCCTATTTGTACAGAACTGAGCATCAGAGGAAGCCCATTTATGCAAGTAGCATTATGGATGGCTCACGCTCTCAGGTCAACTCACCAAGAAAAGTGGGTGACTTCAAACAAAGCGTAGAGGTGGGTAAACTCCAGCACCACTTGATCTGTTATGTCATTCCAGTTTTGAGCGTTCCAGTCTCCATGCAACAGATGGACCCTGGAGTGATCCAAGGTGAGGCCTGAGAACAAATGGAGCAATGTTTGCATACAGGTGTTGAGGCTGAACTCTCTTCAGTTCATAATTACATCAGGATGGATGAGGCTTTGCTGATGGTATATTATTAATGAGATCTGTGAAGTTTGGAAAGGACTGGGGTAATCTAACCAAACATAAACACCAGGACAGCTTTGCAGCTCAAAGCTGTGTTGTGCAATCCTTGCGCAACACATGACCTCAAGGATTAACCCATTTTCCTACAAAGAAGCTTAAGTGTCTGACTCAAACACACATTTAATGGTGTGTGCTGAACATTTAATATTTATGTGTTGTTCATCTAATTGATCTGTGAAATAGACATAGAATTCCTCTTCCATCACAAGACTTTTTCTGTTTGTTGTTTAGTTCCCTGGAGCACACTGACCTGTGACTCCTGGTGGCAGTGGGAGCTGAATTTTAATGGGCTGAAGGAAGTCCACAGTAGAGTTCTGGGAGAGGTAAAGAAGGGGGCTAGCAACAGTTTCTGCATCCTCTGTGATATCTCGTAATTCCTTTGCTGATACAGGTAATACCTGTACATTAAAAACAGAAAGAAAAAAAAGATGTGATCCACTTCTAATATATGAGCAGGAGAACTTCTCAGACCTCATTTTCCGCAGCAAACTTCTATATCTTGCAAAGAAAGGAAGTGCCAGACCAACACTGTGAAATCTTAGTTATGTCCTTCAATGAATCGTGAAATTCCCTGGGTGACCATGGACCACTCACTTGCTCTTTCAGCCTGGCCTCCCTAACACAGTTGTTCTTGTGAGGATAAAGTGATCAGGGGTGAGATACATGTACATTACTTTCCACTCACAAGAGGAAAGGATGGATTCTTACATTTTTTTAAAAAAAAGATAAGAATAAAGTACCACCAGAGAGAGATTTCACTTCTGGCCAGAAAGGATAATGAAGAAAGCTCATTGGATTCCAGGGTTTAATAATTTGACTCCTAAAGGGGAGCTTATTGATTTGGGAAAAGAGCCAACGCTTCTAATCCTTTAGGTCCCTAACTTGGCTCAGTTATCTAATAGCTAACAAATCCTAGTAGTTTCCTGGTTACACTCCACCACCTGGTGCCCTCCTGGAAATATTGGATTACAACTCTCAGATACGTGATGATCAGTGTCATAGCCCAATATGTCCAGAGAGTATTGTGCTGGAAAAACCTATTGGAATAACATACAGAACAGCACCCTGCCATACCAGAAGTGACCCATTTTGTGCAGGATTGTCATTATTTTCTTTTTAGGTAGTAAGAGGTGGTAGTATGTGCATCCCAAATATTAGTAAATTAAATTATGATATTCAAATCAAATTATAGCAAATGTGTAAAACCTTTAATATTCTGGTTATTTTGAGCACTGTTCAGGCCTTTAACAACCACCCTATGTACCTAAATAGTGGAAAAATAAATCTTGCATGCTTCTCTTTTAATACTGAGTGCCTGTGGGAAACATGCTCTGTATCTGCCATTGGACTCAGATGTTTCCTCTGCTATGCTTTGGAGTCTTTGAGATCACCCCTTCCTTCCTGCTACTTCCTTTGTTATCTGCCTTTTCAACCCCCCCCCCCCCCTTTCTGCTCTCTGAAGATAGTTACGTGGA